CATGTGTAAATATCATATTGTCTCCCTAGTGTAAGCACTCAAAAGAAGAAATAAAAATTGAAAGTTATGACACAGTTAAATGGAAAGTGAGAACTTAAGGATTAAACAATGAAGAGAGAGCATGAAGAGAGAGCAAGGGGAAACATTAGGAAATATGTCAGGGGCAAAACCATATATATATATATATAATGGTTAAGGCAATGATCTTAAGAATCTCCATCAGGTTTTTGAAACTAGCAGTTAACTATTAGAATTCTCAGCCTGGCTAACTCTATATGCTGATATCTGTGAACTAAGCAACTACACTGAGACTAGCAATGTGTAATATTAAAACCATGCTTGGTATACCTATCATTCTTGTCTTCTAAATGCATACTGCTTTAAGTGCCATATGAAATATTGTTATATTCTCTCTCATAAATGTTTGTTTAAAAATGGTAAGAAAATAAAACAATAGACAAGAAAAATAATGTCATAGGATTGTCCTACAATGTTGTATATGGTTATATTTCCAAATTTCTGTGTAAAAATGTGTAATTGTATTTTTTCACATTATATAGTGGTTTAAAGCTTAGAATATCAATGATTCTTGGAAAATACCTGTTCCATGTTACATCTAATATTCAGACAGATAGTGATGCTAAGCTCAATTGCCTCTGTTATAGGATAATAATATTAAGCTTCTCTTCTGGATGGTTAACAACTTAAGTATGCAGACCAAAAATTAGAGAAAAGGGACTACAAGGATAGCAATATTTTGGCCTTAGCCCTTCAAGGTCAGTGAGGAATCAGGACATAAGAGAAGCTGTATTATATCACCCTGTAACAGTGGTGTCCTAAATTTTTGATCAAGGAGATTATGGAGCCACAGGGGAAAGTGATCAGTGATGTATAGTGGGCCTTAGGAGAGTCACCTAGGTAGAAAACATTCTCTCAGGCTTTCACACAGAGAGCAAATTGGTCTAGCAATGGCTGTGACTCCTCCACATGGCTGACACTGTCACAAGATCTACAAGGTGCCATACATGGTTTTAGGGTAAATCCTGAGGGGATTTGACTGACTTTGTCAGATACAAAAGTTACATTTTAAGTTATATAGGTCTTGCTTTAATTTGGTATTAACTATCCAGCAGAAAATTGTAACCTCGTGGTATAAAAAGTAAAGCCATGTTAATATGCTAAGCTATAAAAAGCTCAAGCCAATAACTTCTGATGCTGCCAGTTCTGTTGATAGCCAGCTATTATTATGGAGTATGTTGGGTTATTTTGTTGATTTGAAGCACCTACAATATTTGAATGTCAATGGAACACCCCTCTCTGACAAAACAAAACAAAAAAGGGGATATAAATGAATGATCATTTTGTAGTGAAAAAAAAAGTATATATATATATATATATATATGGCATAAGTGCCTGCCTGGCAAGCGTGAGGTCCTGAGTTCAATCTCTGGTACCAAAAAAAAAAAAAAAAAAAAAAAAAGAAAGAAAGAAAGAAAAAAAAAGAAAAAGAAAAAGAAAAAGAAAGAAAATAGGGAAAAGATACAGAATATCAAAGTAAAAGTACTTTATTTTCATTTAGTAATATTTTAGCCAAAGGCTAACATTTTTCCAAAAACAAGATCTTTAAAATGCAGATAAATTTGGTTTTCATTCCATTGAAAAAGGAAAATAGGAGGTTAGGAAATACAAAAGTACCTGAACTATGAAATGTAGTCTTTGGAATTTAGTGAAAACATACTTGTGCTTTTTTCACTACAGAAGTGATTGATTATGACAAGTTTTATGCAGCAGTCCAGGAGCTCTTTGATATAGAAATGAAGAGTCAAGATGTGAAGTGCTTTTACAGGAAGCTCTGCAAGAACCCCGATGCACCTATAGACTGGTGCGAGGTAGTAACCTTTTGTATTTATAATGTGAAAGCCAGGTATTATTTGTCTTTGTTCAGAATATATAAATGAATGTTCCTTCCATAGGGGTTAAATCCACACTGTGCATGTGACATGACTTAATTGCTCTAAGCATTTACACATGGCCTCTCTCAACAATATAAAGTGGATAAGCCAGGTAGCTATTGTGTGTATATATTTGTTTTAACAAATAACAATAAAATAGTTTCAAAACAGGCTAGTAGAAGAATAACAATAATCAACACATTGTGTATTGTTACATTCACAGGAGTTGTTCACTGTATAAGATATAGGCATAGAAAATTTTGTGTTATAATGCTACTAGGCCAACCTGCTAATTGAAAGAAGTGTAAGAACCATTAACAGCAACCAAGATTTTAACCTTTAGTACATTCCAAATGAAATATTTATTTTCTGTAGTGTCAATATATACAACATTTTAGTGTATACAAATCCTTAATATAAAAGAAAGGAGAAGCTGTGATTGACCACCTCTGTTATTCATTGAAGTGTTATATGATTGGCACAGTATTGATTCAAACAATTATACATATACTAACAGAATAATAAAATAACTCTAAAATTAGGTGTTTTAAAAACATATATATATAATTTTGAACCTAAGACACAGGAGATGTCCATCATAAGTTCAGCTACGTAATTGGGAGTCATTTAAAAATTGATCATATGTTAGTCCAAAAAGAATATATCAAGGGCAAGGAAGATAGCTCAGTGGCAGAGGTGCCTGCCTGTCAAGCATAAGGTCCTGAGTTCAATCTCTTATACAGAAAACTAAAATATTTCAATAATCAATAAACACTAATAGAATAAAATTAGAAGTTTATAATAATGATAGTTCAAATCCCCAAACTAACCAAATACAAAAGGAATAACTAGATTTGGGAAAAATTATAAACAAAAGTTCAAAGGCTCTTAAGAATACATAATTCCCATGTTATATTAATTTTCTAATAATATAGGAAAAACAAAACTAGTCACTTTATTTTAGGAAGCTGTAATGACACTGAGTTGAACAAAGAATCTATAAGCCACTATTATTTATGAATTTAAACACTAAAGTTCTAAATAAAGTTTTTAAAACTTGAATATAGGGGTACATTAAAAATTTATTTCCACATAAAACAAAGTCAGGGTGGCTCAATATTAGAAAAGCCATGAACACATTTCTTTTAACAAGTTAGCAGGGAGAAGTAATGCAGTCATTGTAATCACAGATTGGCAAACTAAGGCCAGAGATCAAATTTGGACAACTTCAATTGCAAAAACAACAGTCTTTGTAAATAAAGTTGATCAGAACATGGTAATACTTACTTATATATTCTCTGCAGCTGCTTCTGAGCAACAGTGGCAAAACTAAAATGGTTCTGACAAAGACCAGAAGTGCTTGGAGCCTGAACTATTTTCTGCCTGGCCATTTGCAGAAAAAGTTTTCTGATTCCTGATCCTAAAATAAAAACAAAAAAGATATTTGATTAAAAAATCAATAGCTATTCTTTCTTCTAAAAGAAAATCTTAGACTAGGAACTACAGGAAATTTGCTTTACTTGATACAAGAGACTGTTATGTTCTTTATTGCTACTAAAACAATTTACCATAAATTGAGCAACTTAAAAAAACACACATTGCGCAAGGGCCTGAGTTCAATCCCCAGTTCCGGAAAAACTAAAAACAAAAAGAAATACACATCAGATTGCAGTTTCCATGCATCAGGAGTGTAGGAACAATTTAACTTGGCTGTCTGGTCAGGTCTCATCAGGGTGCAACCAAGGTCTAACTAGCGAAAACTCTCCAAGTTTACTCAGGTTAGTGCTTGAATTCACATCCTTGCTGTTATAAAACTGAAGCCCTTAGCATTAAAAATTGAGATGCCCTCTAGAGGCATCTTTCCTAGTGTATTTGTATAAGTTTTTATCCTCTTTATAACCACAATCTTTACAGCAACCAAACTCCCCTTGGTCCCAATGTTACAGCTTCGACTTGGCAGCCACCAGCAAATTTTTCAAATTGTTACGTTCAGCTTTTTAATTTAATTTTTTTGGTGGAACCAGGGATTTAACTCAGACCCTTGCTCTTGCCAGGCAAGTGCTTATTCTACTGAGCCATCTCCCCAGCCCTAAGTTCAGCTTTTTGATACTGATTATCACTGTAGACATGGCTAAAAGCAACCAGCAGTAACCATGCCACAGCCTGAATGTTGGGTTGCCTTGAAATTTTCTCTGTAAGATTATGTAGTCCAATGCCCTTAATTTCAGTTTCCTACAAAGTCTCAGGACATAGGTAAAATGAAGACACACATGGCCTTAAGTGCAATTGCTAATGGAGTCCTTATTCTGAACTCAAATCTCCTGAGCCTGCCCTTTACTCTTTCTATTTTCTATCAGCATTCTGGTTTTCAGTATTCTAGCCAGAATCTCGTATCAAGTCCAACTGAAAGCATTCTAAGGCCTTTCTAACAAGTATCTCCAAACCTTTCCAAACTTCTCTTCAAAGCTGGTTTCAAAAGCTTCTGAAACACATGGCCAGAAGCATATAGTCACAGCAACAATCCCACTTCTCTGGTACCAAAATCTGTCTTAGTCACTTTTTCACCGCACCTGCACCTTAAAGAAGAAGTTTATTTTGGCTTACAGTTTATTCCCTGGCAGGCCTGCTCCAAGGCAAATCATCATGGCAAAAGGGCATAGTGGAAAAGAGCTGCTGATGTCATGGCAGCCGTGAAGCAGAGGAGGGAAGGTAGGAGAGGGAAAGGGAGACACACTCATTCAAGTCACACTGCCAGTGGCCCACCTGGAGCTATGAATGCATCTGTGGGTTAACCCAATGATGAGTATAGTGCCCCCACGATCCAATCATCCTGTAAAAGCTCTCCTTCTGAGCAATGAGAATTTGGTGGGTCATTCTAGATCTGTATCATAACCAAATGTATATCCAATTTCTTTCTTTCTTTCTTTTGGTTTGTGGGAGGGTTTTTTGGCTGTAGGAATGAGGAGATGGAGCCTCCTTTTAACATCTGTGCCTTCTCTTTTCCTTTCCAATTAGAAAGTCATAATCTTCACAACAAACCCAATATATATTGTGGAAGACAATCATTGCCATAAAAGGTGAGGAGAGGAAAGCACAGAAAGTTTAATTGACTTCTCAAAAGTCATACAGAAAGTGGATTTTGGTTTTGGAGCTGAAAATTTCTCCTTAGCTAGTAATTTCATGTGATATTACTCTATGGGTTCTTATAAATCATATGCAAGTTTAATAGAAAAACTCATGACACACCAGCCTCTGACACACTTCATATGAAGAATCCACTGAAGTTTAAGAAAATGATTCAGGAAGGTTCTTCTTTTATTCTGACAGTTATTCTCACAATCTGTGCCAGCACTCCTAAGAGGCTTTTCTATTTAAAGCCATGCGACCTAACCTTTCTGGCTTCAGATCTGTCATCTACAAAATGGAAATTCGGGGCTGGAAGACTTCCATTCCAGTAGGCATTACTTTAAAAGAGAAAACTTATCATCTAATATTAACTTATCAGGTAACTTAAATAAGATTTATTCTTTTAAACTCAGGCATATGTTTACAAATATAACTTGAAACATCAGTCTCCCTGTTCTGGCAATGCCATAAGAAGTTCCACTTTCTTTTCCTAGGTTTTTGGATGCAAACACACATGGAGAATTTGAGATCATAGAGTAATGAAATCTTAGGACTCAACTAAAACATAACCCAGACCTGCCCTTCTGAGAAAAATTAGGATAAAGAGAGCTAAGGAAATGTGATGCTCTAAGTTGATAAGAGTTCATCAGTGGCAAAGTCTGGCGCACACATGATCCATTTTTCCTATAGCACCGTGTTGGGCTGTGTTTCCACTGAACAACTCATAAACATTTTTTTTGGTAGGAATCCATTACAAATTAATTCAAAGAAGAGTCATACACCACCATATGGAATGCCTAAAATTGTGTTCCCCCAAAAAAGTGAATTTCAAATGAATTATTTTATAGCTAAAATTATATTTTCTAACTTCAAAAATGTTAAGAAATGTTCCAGAGTAGGGTAAAAATAAGTTGCATACAGGTTTTTATTTTCTTCTACCTGTTTTTCATTTTTTCCATATGCTTTAAAATGAACATATGTTCCTTATATAATCAAAATAAAAGGCAATTTAAAAAGTGAATCACCTTACTGTACAGTTCTATAAGCTGAACGGGTTTTGAAAGAAGAATTAATGTTTTATGATATAATTATGTTTAATCTGATTTAAATATTGTGTGACATTATGTATTCTACAGCTATTCAATGTTAATTCTATGCCATCTCATTAATATGTACGAATTTTTTGTTGTACTTCTATACATTTACTATTTATGATTTTTGTGTATCAGTTAAATTTTTTTAAGTGACAAGCTACAAAGACTAAAAAAGTTCAATCCCCGGTTCCACCAAAAACAACAACAAAGACTAAAAAAGTAATTTAAATCATGGACCAACCTCTGTAAATAGCATAACTAAAAGAAAATTCATATTTTATCCGTCATACTATATCTAACACTTACAAAACACACCTTGTCACAAGTACAATTATTAGGCTAAAATTTGAAGATGTTGAAGAAGAAATTTAAGATCCTCAAAGCTACAGCTCATCACAGGAAAAGATGTTTTCTGCTCTTTAACTATTTGCATAAAACATCTCCTTTTCACATATAAAACTTCTGCTGTCTCTTCTAAGTTTAATTGATAATCTTACTATGTCCTTCAAGAAATTTTAATACTTTTCTTTGGAAGTTATTGTGGGATGCAATGTCATGTTTTGCTATTACAAGGAAAAACAGCAAAATTGATCATTTCTATAAGAACAGATGTCCTGCATAATTATCTACAGATAAATATCACTATAGAATATATGTTTCATAACATGCATGGCTGACGTGGCATCTGGCAGGCAGCAAATGTACTCAGTGGACCATTTTGAACAAGCAAGGCAAAGACCTCAGCTCTGCTTCCTGGACTATCTCTGGAAAAATCAGGAGTTACAATTCCTCAAGTGGTGATGTTGATTGACCTCGTATTTAGCCATTGGCTCAATCTTCATACTTTTAAATCTTTCTTCTTACAAGCAATCTAATCATTCACTCACTTATTCAACCCTTAAAATAACACATCGGATAGAAGTTATTAGTGACTATATTTATTTTCAAAATGGAGAAAATTCAGATACAGAGAAATAACTTTCTTGAGATTACATGATTAGCTGACAATCGATTCAGAATTTGGACACATTTCTAAATCCAAAAGCACCTAACACTGACTCCCATGGAACATTGCTCCTGGATTCCTCCTCATACTGTTCTCAGATGCTTAAAAGATGTGTTATCATTATCTCTACAAAAAATTATATGAAAATTACAGTTCAGGCTAAATGGCTATAAACTAGTTTTCAAGTTAGGTATCACAGAACATATTTCACCCTTTCAAATTAGATGACAGCAAAGTGGTGTGGAGTCCTGTCACCCCTGAAAACACTGGAATTTATTAGCAAAAAAGTAAAAGGTCATCATTCTTATTGTTATTTCACATTGCTAACAGAAAATTATTATTTAACACTATTACCTCAGGTTAATTTGGTCATTTGAACATTTACAATTTTTAATTTTTTTGTGTAATTTATGTTATAATGAGTAGTGTGTATAAAATGAAGGGTGATAGGCACAAATGACCTCCTTTCCCAAGATTCCTGTCTCCTAGTTATTCAAATACTAACCTAGGCAGTGCTGTGAAATGACTTTGCAGATGGAATTAAGGGACAAATCAGCTGAGTTTAATATGGGAAGATTACCTAAGTAGGTCTAGAGTAATCATGAGTTCTTAAAAATAAGACAGAAGGGAAAATGAAATACACCAAGCATGAAGGGGACTTGAAACTTCATTACTGTTGCTAAGATGACCAGGGCTGAAGAGAGGCTTCTCAAAGCTGGGAAGTTCCAGCTGACATCCTACAAATGAACAGGTCTTAATGTCTCTCACACACACACACATGGAGAGAGAGAGAGAGAGAGAGAGAGAGAGAGAGAGAGAGAGAGAGAGAGAGAGA